TTAAAACAATTTTCATGGCTTAGATATTCACCTTCTGAAGATGGAGCATTTTGTTTGTGTTGTGTTTTGTTTAGATACACAAATACCCTTCAAAAGCTTCTAGATTTAAAAATTTGTATTCTCAGTCATTCAAATATAGGCCAGATGCTGTGAGCACTTTTAATAGACATTACCATGGGGAAAACGGGAATAATTATGAATATCACTCAGCTGAAATATTTATGAACATTATCACGCAGTACAAATTCTACATTTTAATGCCTGGACCATATTTTCTGCAGTTTTAAATACTATGAATGGAAATATTCAAAATATAGATATTTTAATAAAGAATATGAAAAGGAGATTGCTTTAAATTATAAGAAGTTGTTTTGTGAGAAAATCATTTTCTTAGGTCAACTTAATATAGCTTTCAGTGGTCATTGTGATGGTCATTGGCAAATATTCTTCAGTGGGTGGAGTAGGTAATTTTATTGAGCTTTTAAAATTCTTGAACATTATCTTAACAGCTGTGCAAAGAATGCATCTTATATTTCTAATTCCTCACAGAATGAATTAATAAGTTGTTGTGGAAAGTACATCCAAAATATTTTGATTTCTGAAATAAAAGAAAATCAATTTTTTTCAGTTATTGCTGATGAAGCTTCTGACTGGAATAATTGTCTTTAGTAATTAGATTTATAGACAATTCCTATGATGTTAGGGAAGAATTTATGTGTTTTTTACATTGTAAATTAGATACAGAATAAAGGTTTGTATATACACTGTATATACAAATCTTTATTCAGTATCTTTAAGATCTTCTTCAAATAGAAAGTTTGTATAATTTTTAAATTAAAAAATATAATTATTTTATTTTTTATTGTTTTATTTATTTAAAAGGATTATTTATTTTATTTTAGTTGTTATTTTATTTTTCATGAGATTTTATTATCTTTATAAATTTAAACATGTCTAATTTTTATTGTATTCTTTTTTTTCTCTAATTATCTTTAGTTTTACCTGTCAATTGTTAATCAAAACTGGTACCGTTATGTACTGTATCTTTGATATTTTAATTAAGAGCATTATATACATTGTCTTTTATATGCTTTTTTTTTTTTTTTTTCAGCTCTACCTTGAGATTCTACCATGTGTGGTTATTTGAGTTGAAATATGGTTTTAATTTTGTAAGCTTTCATTATTTGAAGTTTACTTTATTGATCATTAGTCAACACTTTAGAGAAAATAAACACATGTAACACATTAACTGTAAGCATAACTTTGTTTACGAACATTAATATTACAATTGTTTAACATTGTATAACATATCTATTAATGGGATAAAATAAAAAAATGGGTTTTTATGGTTAGTTATTATATTATTGCTTTTGTGTTATTGCATTTCTCATAGTATGATAGTCATACTAATAAATTACATTATAATTTTTTTATAATTATGGTATTAATGTTATTGCAGTTGTTTACTTTTACAAAGTTGTTATTCTACTTGCAAGTCACCTAACTATGCAAACCTTGCCTATTTAATTAATGATTTGTTATATTCCATACAGGTGTATTATTTATATATGTTACAATTATACACAATAATGATGCCCCCAAAATATTTTAACAGACAATATTTTATTTTTGTAGATTTAATGGATCCTTGCTAGTTTTAATACTATATATATATATATATATATATATATATATATATATATATATATATATATATATATATATATATATATATATATATATATATATATATATATATATATATATATATATATTAATATTGCTATATCTTCAACTATATCTTCAAGTGCAAAGCATTATTTAATCATATAATAACTTGTGAAAAGCAGAGCACTTTTCACTTTGTACTTTTTGGATTAAAAAACTACATACCTAGAAAAAATGTTTTAATATTTTATTATAAATTAATCATACTGTGTATTAAACTTGTAATTTAATAATATTATAGTAGTCTGTTTTTACTTAGTTTGTTGTGTCTATTTTTTAAATATGCAACCCCATTCGAGCCGCTTTTTTAAAGGCTTTGCAAATAACTTATTTATCAAACAAATGGGGTAGGTACTTTTTTTTGTAATTCATCTTTATCCCCCCCCCCCCCGTCCTTTCGTGGGGAGGGCGCGGTAAAATCCGCAACCGACTTTTTTGACTAACCTCTTTAAAAAGCTAAACCCGCCCCTGTATTTCATTAGATCCATTGTGCAAACAGTCAGAATGTATGCGTGAGCAATGAATGTTAGTTTTATCCAAAGAAACAAGTTTGCTGAATAATTTTAATTGCTGCAGGTGCAAAAGGTCAGAACAATAGACACATTTTTCGTAAAAGAAATTTCTATGAAAAAAATGATATCGCGTATGGTTGCTAAAGATGGCTTTACATTTAATAGTTTTTGCACATCTTTAGATTCACGGTATTTGTTTTCAAAGAGTGGTTTCCGGATCCCTATTTCACCTAATACTATAAGATTGATGGTAGTAAAACTCTTAGATTCTTTAAAAGCCGATATAATGCAAATATTTACATCACTAAGAAACCAAAATCAAAAGTTTTTAATAACGTTTAACAAATGGACGTCACAAAATAGTCAGAGATACATTGACTTAAATGTACATATGGAGGAAAAACACTTTAATCTTGGATTGATTCAAATCCATGGATCGTGTAATGCAGAATATTGCGTCAAGTTAATTGCAGGAAAACTAAATAGCTTCGATATCGCCCTTCAAAAAGACAATATCGCCATAACCACTGATAGAGCAAGTGTGATGGTGAAAGTTGTTAAAATGATCATCAACTATGTTATGCTTATGGAATACAACCTGCACTTACTGATATCTTATACAAGAAAAACAACGGAGAAGTCGAAGAATCGTGAGATGAACATGAGAACACTGACAATGATGAGGTTATAAATAAAAATAATGGTTTGACAATAATTTTGGACAGACCATCTGCTGAATAGGTTAGCAATTACAAAGATCTCATGAAAAAAGTGAGAAAGATTGTGAAAATATTTTAAAACTCTCCTGTTTAAAATGATACATATTTACAGAAGTATGTCCTGGATGAACACGGCAAAAAGCATAAGTTGATTCCTAATTGTACAACTAGGTGAAACAGTATGTTCAATATGTTAGAAAAATTTCATAGATCAAAAGAGTGTATTGAAAAAGCCTTGATTGATGTTGGGTCAAAAATTAGTTTCACCCAAGAAGAATGGTCCCAAATCAATGACTTAATTATTTGGCTGGCACTATTATGGTCTCAAACTAGTATGCAGGAAAAAATCAAACCTTGTCACTGAGGAAACAACTTTTCAATTTATGTTCGATAAACTAAAAAATCAATCATTACTTTTGAGCATTGACTTAGCAGTGGCACTTTGTGAGAGCTTAACACAACATCGTAATAAGAATTTAATTGGACTACTGTTTTACTTACAAAATCCTAAAAAATATGAACAAGAAATTTAAAAAAATGAAAATATTTTTTCAATGCCAAAGAGAACCGTTATGCATCAAGAAATAAAAAAAATATTGATAAGAGTTTATACAATATAAAAAAAATAAAGACCAAGAAAATGAACTTGAAGAAAAAGAAGCTGTAGATTCTATATACAATTCCAAAATACTTACTCCTACAATTCTATCGCTGAAAAAAGAATTGGAAAATCATATACAGAAAGTCAAGAAAAGCTCGACAGAAAATGTAAAGGAGATACCAAATTTAGATTCTTTAGAATTTGATAAATTATTGATGCAGGAAATGTCTGCCTATGAAAGTAACGGAGTAAGAGGCAATTTTCTATATAGAGCTCATAATTACTTGATGACCATATCACCAACAAGCGTAGAGGACGAGCGAGCTTTTTCAGCTGTTCGCTATATATACAGTCTTTTGAGGAGTAGATTATGTGATGATACTTTAAGTAGGGTCTGTTTCTTAAGAGCGCATTTCTTACAATGATATTCTCATATTTGATATTTTTAAAAATAAGTAAAGCTAAAAGACTCTCTACGTAAAGATAAAAGACGTTTTACGTATTTTTATCTTTTTGTTCATTAAATGTTAAGAATTATATTGATTTACAAATGAATTGTGTTTTTGGCTTCATTTACCTCATCATTTCAATTTAAAAAGTTGAGTATATTTTTTTTGAAATTTTTAAAAAATATATATAACTTGTTATTTTGCTTTTTATAACGTGCATAAGAAATTAATCATTACACTCTTTTTCATTTCCAACTTCTCCAACTCTTCCTAATTTTGAAATGAGTCTTTGGACTGGGCAAACAAAGCAGATCTCTTAAATGTCAATAACAACATCTGGAAGACAAATGCAGTTCAAGTGAACGACGTATACATAAAGTAAAATAGCAAAATCCATTTGGAGTATAAGCGGTGAGACGAAGTTGTTCAATGAGGAAAGAAATTCTTCAGAAGCTTCACTGTATGTATTTTTAATTTGACTTATCAAACATAATACCTCATCTTTTATTTCAGGACTAGAGGTACAAACTCTTTTGACAATAGCTTCAAGCTGTGACCAACAGGTATGACAATTAGAAAACTGAGCAGGTCATAGCAACTAACTTTAGTTAGTTGCTATGACCTGCTCAGACTTTAGTTAGTTAACTTTTGTATACCTACAATAAATATTAACTTGACGTGAATGACAATTAATTTCAAGAGAAAATATTGTTTCGGGCAGATATTATCGAGATGACGATGTGACTTTTAAATTTACAATGAATGCAAAGTATTGAGGATATCTAAAATAGATTTGATAACAAGTAAACTTTAAATTAAAACAAACAAATATTATAAAACAAGGTAAAAATCAAATATGTTACCTTTCTTTTATTTCAGACAGCATTATTTAAACATCATAAAATCTAGTTAAATCAATTTGATTGAAATCATTCATTTTATCAGGTATTTTATTTCGTGATGTTCAAGAAATTTTTATTTATATTTGTAGATCTTGGTTGTGTTAAGGCTGTTTGGCGCACCGTTGAAGATGTGTATCCATGGTGCAAACTCCAAACATTTATATGTTTACAATTATGTCAAATGAGGATGTTTGCAAAAAATTGCGATGATTGAAGCTTGGGAAGAAAAAAATCCCAAAAAATGGACCCCCATCCTGCCCCAAGCATGAGAGCAACAAGTCGATTAAATGTTTTTTTGTATTATTTTTAACTAGACTTATCAATAAATTTTATGTTTCATAGTATTATTTAAAAATTATGACACTATAAAATTTGCAACCCCCCCCCCCCAAGTTGAGGGGGGTTTAAACTTTATATGGTCATAATTTTTGAACACATTCACGATTTTTGAAAATATTTTACAACGAAATTTAAAACTTGTTGGGAAACTAGGTTTGAATCCACAGACTATTCTTCTGTGTGCTTTCGTTTAGTACCACTTTACTCAATCGCCTTTCTATTTGTTTTATATCGCTCTCCTTCATTTCAAGACTGCACTCTTTTTGTTGCTATTTCTGATCATATTGACCAAACCCTCTCTCTTTATCCATCAGCCAATATTGTTTTTGTCGGTGACTGTAAAGCTTATCACACTGAATGGCTTGGCTCGAGTGTCAGTGACTTTGAAGGCGTTAAAATAACTTTTTCTTTTCTCAATCCCTAACTCAAATAGTTAACTTTTCAACTCACTTTCCAGATAACCCAAACCATTTACGTTCTCTACTCGACTTATGTCTTGTTTCTGATCCTAGTTAATGCTCAGTTTCTCCACATTCACCCTTAGGTGCTTCTGATCACGGTTTGATCTATCTAAAACTATTATCTCATTCTTTTTCATCATCAGAATCCCCCTATCATTGTACATCTTACAATTTTCTTAAAGCTGACTGGGATTCTTTCCGAAATTCTCTTCATAATGGCCTTTTGGGTAAAAATCTTTTGTCTTCTTTTTGACAAATGTGCTTCTAACATTACTTTGTGGATTCAGGCTGGCATGAAATCTTTTATTCCATCTTGACAATTCCAGGTCAAGCCTCCCTCTTCTCCATGGTTTTCCTCACATTGTGCTGCTCCAATTGCCAATCGGAACGGTTTCTTCCGGACATCTGTTTATTACTGCTAGAAACAATTGTAAATCTCGTATTTTTTATTACAAAAATTAGTCTCTCGTGACTTCTGAAGAATCTTTAATAGTATCAATAATAAGGGCAAATCTGTAATTCCACCCCTCTTGTATGGTTCAGACTTAGTCATCTCACCTAAAGACAAAGTTAAATTGTTTGCTAAAAACTTTTCATCAATATCATCTCTTGATTCCACTAGTTGCATTTTACTTGATATAGCCGCCAAACAGGTTGATCAATTACTTGATATTCGTATCACTCCAGCTTCTGTATCTAAAGTGATTTCCTGCTTAGACTCTTCTACAGCTTGTGGCCCGGACAACATACCTGTCGTCTATACTTTCAAAACTATTCAACAAGTATTTATCAGAGTTTTGTTTTCCAGCCTGCTGGAAAGTGGCATCTGTTATCCCTATTTTATAAAAAATTCAAGAGAGCGATCTGATTCATTCCATTAATCTTCTTCCTATCATAAGCAAGGTTTTTGAATCTTTAATTAACAAACACTTAATCTCTCATCTTGAATCTAATAACTTACTTTCTGATCATTAATATGAATTTCAATCTTCTCGTTCTACAGCTGATTTGCCAACAGTAATAACCAATAGGTTTTATCGTGCATTAGATAGAGGTGGAGAGGTTGAGGCCATTGCTCTTGACATTTCTAAAGCTTTTGATTTTGAGTTTTGACATACTGGTATTCTCCATAAGATTTCGTCTTACAATGTATATGGTAACATCTTTAAGATTATTGAATCCTTCCTTTCCAATTGTAGAATAAAAGTTGTCCTCAATGGACAGCACTCTTTTTCTTATTCTGTAATTTCAGGGTTCCTCAAGGTTCAATCCTTGGTCCTATACTCTTTCTAATTTACATTAACAATCTTCCAGATATTTTCACTTGTAAGGTGGCATTGTTCGCTGATGATACTACCATTTATTCTTGTCATGATATGAATCCAATTTTCTGATTGCATGGAGGGGGCATTTGAGCTCGAAAAGGATCTCACTTCTGCAACAGCATGGGGCTCTCAGTGGCTGGTAAACTTTAATTCAGATAAAACTCAATTTTTTTCAGCCAATCATTATTGCAGTAATTTAGATCTTCTTATATTTATGAACAGTAATGTACTCGATGAGTCATCTACCCTTCATCTTCTAAGATAAACTCTTACTTCTAATCTTTCTTGGAAACCATATATCAGATCCGTTGCAATATTAGCATCTGCTAAGGTTGCATCTAGCTCTACATTTTCATACTTCGGACTGTTGCCATATCTGAGACGGATCTTTAAATGATGCCCTTTCTCTTTTAGACACAGTGTAAAAACACATTGTAAACAAAGTTAGACCTGCTTTTGCAGCCAACCTCCAACAATTATCATTATCATATACAATATATACATTATCGTAACGTTGCTTCTCTTTCTCTTTTCTACAAATATTATAATGGGCACTGTTCTAAAGAGCTAGCGTCTCTTATGCCATCTACTAAAATTTTTTCTCGTGTTGCTTCTTATTCAATTAAGTCTTTTTCTTTAACTGTGACTGTTCCTAAGAGCTCCAAAAACTCTTATTCCTCCAACTTTTTTCCTCGATCAGTTCCAAGATCAGTTTTTTGGAATTCGCTTCCTTCATCTTGCTTTCCTGATTCATATAATTTGAAATCCTTTAAGTCTACAATCTTCATCTTTTCTCTTCCAGTAACTTGCAACTCTAATAAATGGTTGCTTGCAGCCTTGTCGGAAACGAAGATGTTTTAAAAAAAATTCAATACAGTCTACAATTTCTTTATAAAGTGTTGGTTTGTTATCATCATTCACAGCAACATTGCTGAATTAATTGGATGAATTCAGTTTCTGTTTTGATTTAAGTGTAATAAATAACTTATAAAACAATCAAAAAAATTGTGCTGCATTATTGTTTTTAGGAATATAACTAAATATTGCAGTTGTTTCGTCAAAAATGTAAGCTTGACAACTTGTTTGTTGTTTCCAAGATAAACGAAGTGATAATTAATTTTTCTATGCTTTTTTTTAATTCCTGTTTAGCATTTTATCTTTTAATAAACTTTATGAAACATATTCCCTGTTATGTAACCACCAATAACTTCAACCTAGTCGATGGAATAATCTTATTAAAAAAAATATTAATTTTTTTGCATTCAATAAGTTGTTTTTTATATTTTTTTTATAAAACAAAGTGTATCATATAATAAGTATGTTTTAAATACTCCATTAATAAAATGGATAATAAATAAATACTTTTATATCTCCAGTAAATGCTTTATAAAACAATGAAAATGTTTCAACATTGTTAGAATGGTAACAACAGCTTTTATTTTAAGTTCAATTTGGTGCATTGAGGTAATTCACTCATCGATTTCTTTTTTCAAACATAAACCTATTATGCAAACTTCAGGTAAAAATTTCACAGCATAAGAATACATTTTTACAGTATTCCCTTATTACTGTACATTCGTACAGTAATAAGTGGAGAGGATTCGTACTGTAAATACGTACGAAAAAATTAGCGTAGCCGTTCTTTCGCATTTAAACAGACAGACGTAACTGATTTCTATGAGAACCTAGGAAAGCCTTTGAGAAAATATGTATTCTCTGCAGATGGGATTTATAATTTTATTTTTATTATGCTTAATATTTATTTTGTTTCAACTTTAATCTTAAGGTGGTTCCTACATAATTAAAAGTCAAAATACTTTCAAAAATTGATTTTTTGGCAAATTCGATATTCTAACGTAAAACTTAACGCTCTTTCTTGTGGTATAATTTTATTTTTAAGCTTGTTTATGCTTTTTACAATCTTTACAATTTTATACAGGTAGATATAATTTTAGTGCCTAGCAACGGTCATTGCAACCATTTTTATTTTTTTCAATTATTATCTTAAATGTACTTTAAAACTTAAAGAAGTACATCTCTTTTGCTATTCTAAGTCAAAGTTTTTAAATATTTAATAATTATAAGTTATGCTGTTGCAAAGTGCAAATAACAGGCAGGCTTTTTTATAGTAATTTTTTACTTTTTACTATTTTCTAATGTATTTGTTGAAATTATTTAATATCTTAGTTAGATTCTAGTAAAATAATAAAAATTTAACATGGCAAACCTTTGAAATAACCAAAGAAAGTTATTAAGAAACGGTGTTGGTGGTCGTGGTAGAAAATTTGTACATATTATACATATTATAGTTTTAAAAACTAATTTTTTTTCTTGTTTTTAGATTTTCTGCCATATCGTTTTTCAAGAAAATTGTCTCACGAAAAACATCATAACTTTTGAATTAATAACGATAACTACTTGAACTTTTTAGGGCTTATTCATCTAGTATACTGCTAGTGCCTGAGTTTTTTCAAATTTTTTCAAATTTTTTAATTTTTTACTTGTAAGTTGTGGCTAGGGAACTAAGATCAGAGGCCTAGTAGCAAATATTTGAAAAATATAGTTGTTTTGAAGAATAACTTTTAGTAGAAACAAAATTTTTAAATAAAAAAAACTCTCGCACTAGATACAGGTAGCACACACAAATATACCAAGTTTGAAAGTAAAATGAACTTTTACTCATGAATAATTGTGTTTCTAGTAAACTTTATTTTTAGGGGTTATTTTAACTATTATAGGCCTCTATGCAATCATCTATATATTTTTGACTATTATAGGCCTCTATGCGATCATCAATATATTTTTGGAGTTCGAAAATATATATTTTTTTAATAATTCTGACCCTAGTTTTGAGAAAAATAATGCTTAATGAATAAAAAAAAAAACTTTTTATGATTACATTGGAACTACCTTAATAAATGTTGAGTTTCCTTATTCTCACTTTTAAAACTTTTCTTTTGATACCAGGTTTTATGATAAGAATTTAACATTTTAAGTTAAAGAAAACTTAAAACTTGGCCACGGTTTCTTCAACAAATTCATATATCAAAAATTTGGTGTCTAAAATGCTATAAGTTATAATAAAACTTTTTATGGAACTGTTCAATTTTGATAATTTTTTCACTTTTAAAATACTGCTTTCAAGGTTTTTCCTATGATATAAAACAATCTAGTGTTTGATCAATTTAAAAATGTTATGTCACATAC